TAAAATATTTATAATATTGATCTATAATATATTTTTTATCATATTTTATAAAAGTCTAGTTATTTAAAAATTTTTCTGAAAGTTACGTAACTTTTTTATTAAAGATCTGTTCAAAGGATGAAAATTTTAATTGCGCACAATAATTATTTTTTTAAATGTTACTTTATTTGGATATTGTTTTAATTTGAAAATATATTTGTATTTTATAGATCAACTGTTGTGTACTACAACTGCACCATTGTATGCATCGTACCGGTGAGTACAAAATCAATTTTTATTTTATATACATATTTTCTCAATGGATTTACGATAACTATATTAAATAAATTTGTTAAAATCTTTTTCTAACATAATAATCAATATACAAAAATTTAAATTTGTTTATTATTAACAAATTTTTAATTTCCGGTTCAAGAACATTCCAAATTTTAATGAATTATTTTAATGAATTTCAATATTCTCACACTTAAGACCCAATTATGGAGAGATATTCCAATTATATAGATTTATTACACTCGATGTCTTGTCTAATTTATGTATTGCCATGTTCTATTATTATATCTATGTTTATATGACGAAACATACGTCAGCTTTAATGCGCGTTTAATATTGATACAATTCCGGCGCTTTCCGTTTTAAGTATGAAAACCGCAAACAAATTTCACTGTGTGCATTCTTCTGCAAAAAGTTTTCTGAAAAAAAAAAACCAACGCATGTCCATTGAACGGGAAAGTATACGAGATGCGCGTGCGTTATACTGGCGCAGCAACAAAAATTATTTACTCTTCCGCTTCTTTCCCATACAATCGCGGCGCGGATTATGCGCGCGCGAATAAACGATGAGAAGGCCGGATTAATTTGTCAGTGACAGCTCGCAAAATTCGAACCGATGTCCAGGTACGTTGAACCGCGCGCATCAAATAATATCGCAGCAATCATATTACGAAACAGGCAAATACGTCAACGCAACGTGTATACACTGAATAATGCATTGTTGGTGCAGCTAATGCACGGTCAGCTACCGTACGGATACCATCCCCGTATAATTGGGAGCCGTGTTTGCGAATCAAAGTCATCATCGGCCGTCATCGCGGGCGTGCTGATGAAACGAGCAGACGATAGCACCTCCCGTTGAACAAATACTGTTTCCGTGGGCGAGGTTTAAAAGGTCGCCGAGCTTCGTTGCTCTTGGTTTACCGCGAATTTGCTTTATGCGTAACCTAACACGATGTAACCTAACGATTTTCGCGATTCAATGAATTAGCTTTGCAAAAATCAAATAAATTTTTAGGATTCTGATAAATAACACTATATTATTCTTTTCTTGAATAGTAAAAGAAATATATAAAACAACAAGGAACGCTCAGGAAAAATCGCGTATTTTCGTGTGCACAACCAGTGCCTTCGAAAAATTCATAAACTCTCAGGCAATATTTCCTTCAGTCTCCGCAATATTTTTCAAATTGCCCGACGAAATATATCGTCCACCGTCTTTCTGTGTCTTTCTTGCGGTCCTTGTTATAAAGGGACCACGATTCCCTTCCACATTTCCGTACGACGTTTGGACGCGGGTAGGTGGCAGGACATACAATAATGGTCGGACGAGTTTTATAGATGCCGCGGCCACCATCCGGCGGTCCGGTCCAGCATAAGGGCCAATAAGGTGGGTCGCGTCTTCCTTGGCAGAATTTCAGCCAGAACGAAATTACATTCCGTCAGCTCTCGGCCGCGCGTGTTCAAGATTTTCCCTCGAGCGTGCGCGTACTCGTGCGTGGAATGCGATCCACACGAGAGAAAAGAAGCTTCTCTCCAGACGGCATAAAAGTCGCCTGCAATTAGCCGGTACTATTTCCCCCGGCGCTGCGTCGAACGTCGTCGATTCTGGAAATTTATCTCCACGACAAAAGAGGAAGTAAGGGCGGTCGACGAGCCTCGGGAAAATTTATTCGAATGCCACGAACGATTCCGCTACAAATTGTGATTCGGGTCTAAATGAATCTTTCTGGTAGTCGAGAAGGTAAATTGACGGAGTAGAGCAATCGTGTTGAGTATACTGCACGCTATAGTAACAGTGCATGATGACTTTACAAGTTTTCAATCTCTTGGACTTGCGACCTCGAAATATATTTCGATAGATTTCTAACATTATTTCTGGTTCTTAAATTGGAATCTTTACTTTTAAAGAACATATTATTCTCAATTCTGCGGAGAGAAATATGTTTTCTACATATAAATTACATTTTAAGAATACTTTGAGACGTTGTTGATGCACAAAGATATCGTCGAGGAAACGAAACTTGCGTCGCCCGATTAAGATTTTTCGGTACCTACGCCAATGATCGCGCGTAACCCGGTAGCAGGTCCCCATCCCACACCTGCGGCTCAGCCCCTGCCTCTCATTATCCCAACCTGATCTTTCGAAAGATACACTCGAACTTTCGTTATTTATCACGGGGTTAACGATCAGAATTTTTAAAGACTCCGTTTGGAAACACCTTCTCATATTAACCTTCATATCGATACATGAGAGATTCTATATTGCATATATATACTTAAAGTAAAAATCAATATTTTATGTGGAAATTAAAATCAAAAATTGTAAATGCACAATTACATATAACATATGATTGAGATACATATATGTATAAGAGACGTTTTACATCTCTTTTATATATTTTTTCTTCTGTTTATATATTTAATTAAGATTTAAAATGTTAAATACATAATGGATATTATTTAACCATTAATATCTAATAATTCTCGATACATCACAAAGATGTATAGGTTGTTAAATACTTATTTATACATAGTATATAGAATGTTTTATAATCAAATTAACATCGGTTTGATCTTTTTCACGGAGAGATCATGCAACATCACGGTCAAAATAGAAATTACAATCCGTCTACAGCAGCCTGAATCTGGCCGCTTTCTTTCCTTTCTTTTCAGCTCCCTTTTCGTTCTGGTCAGAGAAACTTATTTTATTCGGGTAGCATCATGAACAGGATCAGCCAAGCGGGAAACCAGTAGCTACCTTGCCGGCTTAGTCGGTGACTTGAGCTGGAGACAGGTCCGAGACTAAACCCATATGTGCGTTAATAAACTGTTGCCGCCTATAATATGTTCTAAAACCTTGACGCGGCACTGAAACCGTTTCTCCCTTGTTATTATGTTTTTCTCTTCCGGAAAAAAAGACGTTTATTAAACACAAAAGAGCAGAGAAATCTCTTTCGACGAAGAAGATTTGAATTTGAATTCTACGTTACCTCTTTTCCTTTTTTCTTCATGATTGCAATTCTCCGAAGAATTAGTAAAAGATTTTTTTTAGAATATCTTAAATTCTTGCTAACGTAGATTTTATATTAGATCTTTTATCCAATTTAATTCTCGTACAATACATAATTGCAATGATATATTAGTTTCCAAGCTAAGTTTTCCAATTACTCTTACTCGGAGTTAATTATCATGTGTCAACGTGGTTAACTCTCTCCCGGAAGGGCCAAAAGAAACGCCATACGAACTTATTAAACATATGCTCGCGTTTTTCCTGACCGCGCGGCGGACACCCCTCGACTTCGGAATGATAATAGCTCGTAATCCGTCTAGCCGTAGCGCTACAATGATTGGGGTTGAGGGTCGGGAGTCGCTTCCAAATTCACCTACGGTGGGGTCGAGGCCGGGGCGCCCTGTATATTCTATTTGTATACATCGTGGTCCTGGAATAGAAAACACCATATGGCGCACGCAGTAATATATTTATAATTTTTATTACATGTATATAGAATCTTAATTAAAAATTTTTCTCTGAATACTTGATAATGTCGGTGCTCGGATATCCGAATAAGGATTTATCTCCGGCGTTCCTGATATTAATTTTACGTCAGTGCCGGTACGTATTTTTCTCGCAAATAGCAATGAGCGATGATTCCTTCACGGGGATCAACGAAGGAAGGAGGCCGATTCAATCTGGCTCCTCGATCGTAGGACAAATTCGGCCTAAAGGGAGGATCAGCTGTCACCGTTGATGAGCAAGGGCTTCGAAGGGCCAAGGATGCGGGAGTACGTTTTATATGGGAAGTCGCGGCAAGTCCCGACATCTAGACGCCAGCGTAGAAGGGAGAACGCAGGATTTTATGTCCCGTAACTCCCTCGGGAGCCCCACGTTTATGTTCTACCCTGTCATCATGATGTCCACCTACACGCCGGACAAAACAAAACACTATCCGAGCTCTTTTTCTCCGTCTCTCTTTCTCTCTGACCTCCTTCCTTCCCCCCCCCCCACCTTGCTGTCGTAATAGGAATTCGTCCGCGACGAGGAAATGCCACGCATTTCTGCGAGGAGGAAAGTGTTCAAGCTCTGACTTTCATTCTTTCGCTTTTATTTCGTCAGGGCGACTCGGGAATGCCTATCGACTTCCCTCGCAGACGAGCGTATCTTAATTGCGCCTGCAATTTTAGCTCGATTGATATAGATGGTGTACAATCTTAACGCGACCGAATTGGCACATAATGACGTAGTCTTTTATTTGATCTAAAAGAGAACGAGTCTCGATACTATTATTTGCGAAATATATTTTTTTTTCGAAAAGAAAAGAGTACAATGTTGAGTCGCTACGAAAGTTTATCGCTTTTTAATTCTATCATTGATTTTATTGATCGCTTACGCGCATTCAATAACGTCTGATTGTGTATTATAACTTTGTTTGAATAAGTTGCATAATATCTGATTTTCAAATTTTTCAAATTCATGTTTCATTGTTGCATTGCTTCAGTAATAATTCTGTAAAATTAAATTTAAATCATAAAAAAATTTTAATTGTTTAGCGTAAGCCGAAAGAATGTAATGTAGGTATTTCTTCTGTGGAATGCAGACATTTCTGTATTTCGCTTTCCGTCTATTGTCGTCTATACTCGCTGTCTTTATATTAGACATTACGTCGACTTAATGTTCCGCGCTCGCAAGCGTGACCTGTATTTTCTCTCGCTACACGATCGTCATGGAAGAATTAGTAAAAGATTTTTTTTAGAATATCTTAAATTCTTGCTAACGTAGATTTTATATTAGATCTTTTATCCAATTTAATTCTCGTACAATACATAATTGCAATGATATATTAGTTTCCAAGCTAAGTTTTCCAATTACTCTTACTCGGAGTTAATTATCATGTGTCAACGTGGTTAACTCTCTCCCGGAAGGGCCAAAAGAAACGCCATACGAACTTATTAAACATATGCTCGCGTTTTTCCTGACCGCG